AGGAGGAGGGACGGAGAGCGGCAGGCGGGAGCGAGGGAAGGAGGGATGGGCGAGGGTGAGCGGGATGGAGCGGCCAACAGGGCGGGACGCTGAGGCTGGAGCGGAGCGGGGAAAAACGGGGTGGCGGGGAAACGGGGCAGCTCCGACGGCTGCGTGAAATGAAGGGCCCTGCCTGCTGTCGGGCCGCAGGGACTCCGCTCTCATCTCGCTCTCTTTTTTTCCCTGCAGGCTTCCTTTGGGAGTTCGAGCCCAGGTTCGTCCTCGCCCACCTCCTGCATCGGCACCCAGCCTGTCGCCCGCACGCCGTTCTCTCCTTGCCGCTCCTTCCCAAATATTTCCCCTCGTAGTTTTCCTAAGGCTTCGTGTGCACGCTGTTAACCGCCTGCCAGGTTTTTAAGAGGAGATGTGCGCTACGGATTCCTTCACTTAAGTCCATTTGCAGTTAGAAATTGACTGCTTGGAACCAAAAATGAAATCAAAGTTGTGTAGCACTTTTAAGTCAGCATCTCACTAAAGCCAGATAGGCTGGAAAAAGGCAGCTTCTCTTGTTGCTGTTAACTACAGTCTTGCCTAAATTTTTGACTTCTTGGTAATAGCAGAAAATGTTTAAAATCATAGCAACAAGTGATTTTTAAGGCTGTAACTAAATGCTGTTAAGGTTCTTTGGGATACAGTATACAACCAAGCATTATTAACAGCAGAAGGGCTATTCTCAAATATTTGGGGAACATATTTGCTTCTATGCAGATGCATTCTGCAGTGTTTGTCATCATCTTTAACTCTTATGAAATTTGTTGAGCTTGTATTTTTCAATATAGTTTTGAATATTTTAAATGGGGTATTGAACATTCAGAACTACAGGAGAAGTGGGACTTTTTAATGTAAAGTCTGTGGAACAGAACTTCCCATTGAGTTAAATGGAAAACGAGTTAGAAAAGCTATGAGAAGCAATAATCTTGAGCATACCCTTATGAGTACCTGTTAGATTAAGGCAATTGATAGTTTCTTAAAACTTGAGCAGGATGTGATGGCCAGCAGCAGGAGGATTAAACACATAATGTCATTATTTGACCTGTAGTAGCATTGTCAGCTCTGCTGAAAGTTCTGTGAGACCGTAATATGAATAGCATGTGAATAAAAAGCATTTTGGGGCTGAATGTTTCTCTACAGTATGATATTACAAACTTTGACAGCTTTGTCTTAGGCAAGCTGAACAAAATTCAGTTACTTTCATGTACAGAATGAATGCTTAGCATCGGTGATAAAAAATTGCATTCTTTAAGATTCAGAAGCGTTATTAACAGCTGTCTCAAGGCTGAAAGCAGTGCAAAGAGGAATTCTGTATTATTTTTTGAAGAGGGCTGAAGATTAGTAGTTATTTCTTCAAAAACTTTTGAAGAAGTTCCTTGATAGAACTCATTCTTTGATAGACCTTGTCTGAAAACTAAGGATTGCAACAGAGCACTAGTAGTGAAAGAGAAACCAGAAGTGAAAGAGAAATTAATCTGTCTTTCTTCTCCAACCTGAAAATCATAAAGAAGTGAACATTAAAGAGCAAAGCAACCCTATGATTGGTGATTCTTCATTGTAGAACGCTGACTACTGATGCAGAATATTTTCATCTTGAAAATTGATTGACTCTTAATGTTTCAAATGACAGAGTGTGTTTAAAATGACAGTACTTTTTTGATGACTTCTGAATATCATCTTCAGTAATTAAAAAGTGTCCACACATTTTAAAGTGGACCACAGAGCTATCACACTGGGTTGTTAATTAATGTGATCCATTAGATGCATTTTGTTATTTTTATTTTCCATATTATTTCTTGAAATTCTGCTGTGTTTATTCTTCTAGATGAAGTGCTATCAATTAATTTTATTAGAAGATCCATTTGTGAGGCTAAAGCAATTGGAAGCAAGTCTCACTTTATTTTGCTACTAGTAGGATGTGACCTCATAACCTAAGTGACCTGTTTGCCACTGCAAAACTATGCTTGTTACCATAAAAATCGCATCAATAAAATCAGTCTATAGATCACAGTCTTGCAGATTCTAATATCTTTTGATGTATGTGCTTTGTATCTTAATGATGGTGCTTTGAACAAACTTCTATTCAGTATAATATTAATTTGGGATTGTACTTCCTGAAATTCAGTTTTGCTTGTTTAGGTACTTCTCCCTGCTATTCTGTTTGTAGCAAAAGAGAAAGATGTCCTTGTTACTTAAAAATATGAAAAGGAAAGGTCATCTAAAGCAGCTGAATTTGTCAAGTAGTTCCGAATTTGTTACCCCGTTGAGAATTCTGACCTTCTTTGTAAGAGAGTTCATGCAGTTTGTTTTTGCTGGGATTTAATTTTGTATGTTGGTATAGGGGAAATAATTTCTTAAATTAAGTTTTTTTTTGATAGTTGGCTCTTTGTCATCTGAGGATCATGACTTTGACCCATCTGCTGAAATGCTGGTACACGATTATGATGATGAGCGAACTCTTGAAGAAGAGGAAATGATGGAAGAAAGCAAAAATTTCAGCTCTGAAATTGAGGATTTAGAAAAGGTAAGAGCAACTCTTTCCCTTGTGAACGTCCATACATGTTGTAATTTTTCTAGTGAGAAAAACATTCAACCTGTCCTTCAATTTGTATTGTATAGTGCAATTTTCTGCAAAAATGCATTTGCAGCTTGTTGGAAAGAAAGGTTTGGATGCAGCAGTGCATCATCACAGAAAAGGCTGAACTTAGCTTCTCAAAGCTAAGTGTTGGGGCTCATTTTTTTTATTTTTTATTTAGTAGCACATTTGCTTTGTTAGAGAAATCACATAGGAAATAGGTTTTAGAGGCCTGTCATCTAACATCACTTGTATGTTGAAACTACATTTTGCATACTATTAAAATGACATCTAGCAGTGTTTCATTATCTTGGTCAGGTTTTACTTTTCCAATATGCAGACAAACAGTGCTGGTTTAGCCATCATGGGTCACATTAATTTGCTTTATAAATTATATTTCTATGCCTTAGTTTTATCAGTTTAGTATTCAGTGGATATACAAAATTATCAGTGTGCTCTGGCTTTTTCTATTCCATTTTACACGTCTTAGTAAGAAGTTTTTCTTACTTACACCTTTTGTTCATCCATGGCAGTATAGCATGCATTCTAAATGCTGCTGAATGCTGAACACCCAGAAATTGATACTATTTGCATTACTCTTTTCATGACCCACTTACACTACTCAGCATGACTACAGGTTTTGGTCAACAGACTTCCAAAAAAGTGTATTTTTTAGCATCAAACACAAGGCTGTGTTTCAGTAGTCCATGTGAAAACAAATTTTCTACATACGGAGTTGACAGTGTTTATATTCCTGATTTTTTTTTTTTTTTGCCTTATTGCCTTTACTTTTTTGCTGATGATGAGCTTGCTGTTATAGTAGTGAAGGAATTTGCCTGGTCTGATGGTCAAAATGGAGTTTTTACTCCACAAAATTCTCTTACTGCTTCAATAGTAGAAGAAAGAAGAACCAAGAAACACTCATCCTAAACACTTTATTACTCTAGGTCCTTATCCTGGAAAGACTTGGATATGAGTTTCCATTTACTCATTGTGAAAAGTCTTTGCCTGACTAAGACCTTGCCTGGCAAAAGAAAAAAAAAATGGAATTTAATCAGTGTATGAGTTCAACAATAAATTTTTAGTGGTATAACTTTTAAAGGTGTAAATATTTGAAAGTATTTTTCATTCCCTGATGTCTTGATTCAGGTAATGAAAAAGAATCTGCACTGTTAATTGTTCTATTAATTGTATTAGGATGCAAGTATGATGATAGTTATTAGAAGTTTGATTAAAAATTATCAGAAAAGCCAAGCTAAAAATCAAGCCTTTCTCTTGATTTTTGCCTTTTCATGGATTTCTCTTATTACGTTCTCAGTGGTTAATACACATTTTGCAGGAGATGAAAAGAAGGGCTTAGAAGTTGTGTACTGGTTTACTTTGGTGGGAGTTTTCATATGTGCAGCTGTAACTATGCAGGAAAAAAGTCTTCAAAGTTTTCTGTATTTCTCTTGAAGAATTATAGACCAATCGTGTTCTACAGTATCAATCAGATAAGGAGCAGACTTTTAATACTTACTTTTCATTTTCATCCAGTAAAATATTTTCCCCTTCAGCTTGACAGAACTCACTACATGCCAAGAGACATATTTATGAATTGCTGCCATAAAATCATTTTAAATTAATATTTTAAACCTTTAATTATTCTTGCTTTCAGCTGAATGTTTGTTTTTTATTTCTGTTCTTCAGAATATGTCTTACTCTCTTAGGCCTGAACTGTTTACAAGTAATTTGCAATATGTTGAAGTGTTGTAAATCTTCTTGTATTAGGAAGGAAACATGCCGTTGGAAGATTTACTAGCGTTCTATGGCTATGAACCCACAATTCCAGTTATGCCAGGTTCCAGTGCGAATAGCTCGCCAAGTGAACTTGCAGATGAACTTCCAGATATGACTCTAGATAAAGTAAGTCAGAACATTTTCACCTGCATTGTTGTTTAAAAGCAGAAATCCAAGTGGCTTTAAATTATGTGTCATAATCTCTTGATGCTACAAAACATGTATCTTTGTTAATTTCAATATACATTGTCACTCTGGGATCCTACCTTTTCAAGGATATTGGGCATTTAGTTCTAATGATGATGCATAGCAGCTTTAGTGTGTCACTCTATTAGCACAAAAGAAAACTAAATATGTCAATAGTTCTTCTGAAACACATGCGGAGAACTTTTAAGTAGGGGGTTTGTCAGTTGTTTTGGGGTTTTTTTTTTTAGTTAGGAAGTGGGATTTTTCGATAATAATTGCAGTGTCCAGAAATAACTCTGACTTCCACCACACATCAAGTGCAAAAAAAAAAAGAAAATAACATGAAAATGCACTTCTGAATGTTTTTTCAAATGTTTATCTTTTAGAAAGGTCTCAGCTTTAGGGAGAGAGAGATTGTTTTATGTGTAGTGACTATATATGTTGAATTGCTGATACAAAACCTTGAAATTTCTGCTTTTGTGGTGTGCAAGTTAAGTTTAAATTCTGAGATTTTAATCTGATTTTTGGCCACAAAGCGTGTGCAGCTTGTAGTTGAGCGTAGAAAGTATGCAAGTAGTAAGTGTATGTCTTTTTTTTCCCTATGGGTATGATGTAATGGTAAACTCCACAGAAAGAAGGATATAATGATGGCTCTGCACATCTGATTCTCATTAGGATTCACGATTGTGTTGAGGCTACAAAAATGTAGTCGGCTTGTTGTCTAATACAGTTCTTCCCCTTCCAAATATCTGTCAGAGGGGTTCAAACATGTCTGCTAGTGGAGGAAGTATGCCTTTTCTTTCTTAATATTCTTTAAGCTACAAAAATGTGTGATTTTTTTTTAGTGTTTTGTTATCTAGAACTATTCTCTCAGCAAAAGTCTACAAAAAACCTGGCTGGGTTTTTTTTATTTTGGTTGGTTGGCCTTTGCCACAGAGTTTAGGACGCAGTAGCTTTTAAAGCTTCGGGATATCTGTGATGCAAAGAATGACAGAATGCTAAGTATGTGAGGTAGTTTCCACTGGTGTTTCTTACTGGAAGCAGCTGGAGGAACATCTGAGATTGATGCTTGCAAAAGTTAATTCTTGTGCATTTGTTTTAACAGAAGACAGAGGGGAACGGCTATGTTTGACTCTGAAATGAATGGCTTTATTCTTAGAGTTAGTAGGAGCAAACTAGCTTTTTATTTAAGGGAATATGATCTGCAAAATTTTCTTCTGGTAAGGGAACTCATTTTAATTAATGAGCCTTACAGTTGGCTGAATCTAAATGCTTGCCAGTCTATATTTTATAGTCACTCTGGGGTTTTATTGTTTTATTTTAATGATACAGGAGGAAATCGCTAAAGACCTGTTGTCAGGTGATGATGAAGAAACACAGTCTTCTGCTGATGACTTGACACCATCAGTTACTTCTCATGAAGCTACTGACTTCTTTCCTCGGCCACTAAGATGTAGGAAACCTAATTTTGTAATAGTGCTTTATAAAAAGTCAAAGCATTGTATATGGCTTCATACCTTAAAATACCAAAATTGAGGAGTACTATTCACTGTACCAGGAGTTGAGAAACAGTGCTTTGTAAAATGTTGTACATGAACATTGACTTTGGTTGGCATTACTGAGTACCTAAAAGACTTATATTTGGTTTTCTGCTCAAAGCACAATTAAAATTAATTCCTCTATGAATGCAGTAACTTCATAGTCAATAGTTCCATGGTGTTGAGGAACACCCTTCATGACTTTCAGTTTTAGTGAATTATATGAACATGTAACCCATTTTAAATTAGTGTCTCTGTACTAAAATTTTTGCTGCTGCTTTTAAGCCAGTGACTCCTCCGTACAGCCTGTGGATGTGAACTGGGATGCAGTGTCTTTGTGATTATTTCCCTTCACACATTCAACACTTTTCCATATGGCTTTAAGGGGTGAGCCAAAGTAGTTTTCTATGGGATGGGGCCTGTAAACCCATGACCACCAAAATTTCACTGTCCATCGAGCTGTGATGGGAAAGAACCAGTGGTTCAGTTATCCAGCCTGGATGAGATACTCCTCATTGCCTGTTGCATGTCCTTTGTTCACTGGTGTCTTAAAGTTAAAGCAGTGTGGAGGACTTCTACTACAGTTTTAATTTGGCAAATATATTAACGTATTCCATGGAGGATTTCATTTTTTTAGAGGAGGGAAGGATAAAAGGATTGTGCTGCCTCAGTCACCAGCAATCATGTAGCCCTTTGCATACTGCTGTCTGATAAATGCAGGACATTTGTATTGAAAGAGAGATAAAAAAATTGTAATGCCCCTTTCTCAGTTAAACAAATGCCAAAACATGCTGGCACTTGTGAACTGTTAATGAATATGACATTTTAAGTGTGGAAGTTTCATAGAAAAATGTCTGTAGCCCCTCATCTGAGGATTAAGAAACAGTCATCTTTGTTCTCAGCTGTCATGGTTTTCTTTCAAAATGTTTCTTTGTTAGAACATTCAGCTGGACATTTTAAAATCAAGTATCCACCATTTCAGGGAAGGAGATATCAATTCTCTGTGCTGTTGGCAGTTCTATTTTTTTCTGGTCTCTCTCTGTCCATTTCCCAGATTCTAAGATAACATTAAGTTTTAAGATACGCATTATCTAATACGTAATACAGATTGTTTCACTAAGTTCACATTAATTGGGCAAAATAATTGCCTGTGATTGTCCAAGTGTATTGTTCCGTTCATTCAGGTTAGCCCCTTGCTTGCTACTTGTAAAACCAAAAAGAGAGAGGCTGGTGATTTCAGTAATGCCTACGGAAGAAGACCCTCAGTCCATGCAGTCTTAGATATTGTCTCTGATGTTCTTGATGCTTTAGTTGTGATGAAGCTAAAATTTCAGCCCAGTTTATGTTTTCTCTGAAGCTGGAGAATACAAAATAGCTGTAATCATGTCACAACTATAGATTCCCTTCTGCTGGGGATTATACAACAATAAAAATAGGACTGCTTGAGAACCCAGTACCACAGCGTCCCAGATTATCAAATGTGAGTTATTCTATGAAGTAATGTATTTGAATTGTTTGGAGGGCTCTGCTGTATTTCTTCCTAAGGGAAGGAAAAAAAATATTTAAGAGGAACAAGCAGTCCTTTTTTGTCTTACTTATCCATTTTGTGTCTCTCCTGTATCTTCATTCTGTGCTAAGGCAGTCTGGTTTAAATGAATGTTTTGAATGCCCATTAAAACTTCTGATGAAAGGTTTTAGTAGGTAATAAAGGCATGCCTTTAGCTTTAGTCTCTTTGTGATTGACCTCAGGCTGTGTCATAGCCCTGGAAGTTTCCTGTTTTTTCTCTAGGCATAAGCTTTTATTGAGAAAATCAACAAAAAAATTATCTCATTTCCTTTTGACTGTTGGAAATATAGTAGATTGTGTCATTTGCAATGATGATAAATGTTTCAGTTCTGCAGTATACAAATACCAGTGTGTTCTGACTTAATTCTAGTTTGGTTTTGATAGAAATCTGGATCAATAGACACACAATAAGTGTCTCCCTGAATAAAAGCAGGTGCTCCTTTGAAAAGTAAATGTTACCTTGCTGTTCTGTGCTTGAATAGAAAATTCTCCATAGCTAAAAGCAAACTTCTTTGTTTCTGAAGCAAACACCACATGTGACGGAGATAAGGAATCTGATGGTGAAGATGTAGAGACAGACAATGGTAATTCATCTGAAGATTTGAGAAAGGTAATAATTATCATTTTTAAAAGTTAGAACTTAAGAAAAATCCCGTAAGAGTTTTAGTATGTATCTAAGGTTGTACCTTCATTCAGAAATTCTATGTCACATGTCAGGTTAATGATGCTTTTTAATACTTCCGTACACAAAATATTGTCAGTAACTTTCTCTCTTTATTTTTATTATATTTTCAGGAAATAATGGTTGGTTCACAATACCAGGCTGAAATTCCAGCTTACCTTGGCAGATGCAGTGATGATGAAAAGGGTATGTCTTTCTAATTACTTTACTTCCTATTTTATGTTTATACATAGCACTTAGTGGAAAAATGTTATTTAAATTTGTAAGGTCAATTCAATTACCTAGCAAAAGTCTCAGAGACCATTTAAAAAAGGGTTCCAGAAATTTGAAGCAGGACAACTGTATACTTAGATCTCAGAAGTGTGACTCTCCAACTTGGAGAGGACATTCTTAAGACAAAATTTGAGGGTTAGTTCTGATGTGTCTGCTAATAGTAGGTGTCAAGTAACTGTAGGTCAAGAATGAGTACTTTTTTTGGAGAATCATAGCTGGTCTATGAGCATGAAACTTAGTTTACATTGAAGATGTTCAGAACAGTCTTTTTCCTTGCTCATTTTTTTGGCTGGTAAAACCATGTGAGATATAAAATTGCTATGGAAAACAAAGCAATAAACTATTTTAAATTTCCTTGGTATTTATCCTATTATTCTATATAATAGGTCCTGTTATACTGTCTCTTAAAAATGTAGTGTATTAAATATGATACTCCAGTACAAATTTATGTTAAAAATTGCTGTTGTGCTAGAGTGGAAAAAAAAAGCCTTATGTAATAGAGTTTTATTTTGTTTCTTTAGAAACCTAATACATATAGGTATGGACTTGAAAAGTCAAATAATGCAAAAAGATTTGCTCATGGGTGGAACAGCTATGAAATTAAGAAATGGGTTGGGTGATATAATAGTAAATGAAGGGAATTCTGTGGGTTTTTTTCTGCAAATTTTTGATATTCTGTAAGGTGCCTGCTGTGGGTTTTTTTCTGCAAATTTTTGATATTCTGTAAGGTGCCTGTGTTCTTTAGCATTTAATGGGGATATTATTTGAGTGAATTGTATTGAGTCTTTTCAACTGTGCCACCTGCTCTTTTGAGGAGTAATCCTTTGCAATAGAGAAGAAAGAAATGACATACCATTTGGTAGGAATGGAGCTGAAAGCGTTAGGAAGTGAATATCTCTTGTGTTGCTTAAGATCTAGGAAAGCCTCCAATTTTTTAAGATTCAAGCATGATGCTAATGGGTTGCAAGAAATGGAGGAGTAAGGGCTGGATTTACGTGGGTAACTCTTTTACAATTTCCACATCTTGACTTCTCCTCAGCCAAGAACTAAGAAAGTCCTTATAGCTAGAAGATGATCAAGGAGGGGTTAATCTAACAATTTTCTCTGTAATGAGGTGGTAGTAGAGAAAAATAGTGAAAGTCTTGTCTGAGAGCATGGCCAAGAGCAAAGTAGCTCCCAGATCAGAGAGCTCAAGGAGCATCTTTTGAGGTTATTGGTTAATAAAGCTGAAGAGGAGAGTCACCAGCACTCTGGAAGGTTGGGCTTAGTTGTAGGTGTGCAGGATTCTATGAAAGCCTTTCCTGTATGCCCTGAACAGCTAGTGATGGCAAGTAGGACCTTATATTTGTACTACGTAGTCCAGCAGCCAGATGTGAGCTAGAAAGCAGTTCGGCACTCCTATAAACTTTGCACTTGTATCTTACCTGTCTGAAAGCTTTCTATGTTGTTAACCCATAAAAGAACTTTCAGAGGTGTTATTTTACTTCTCACCTTAGCCTAATGTTGTTTCCTGCAGTTTTAGGAAAGCTTTAATCACATCCATCTTTTCTGCTGTGCAGCCTTATGGTTCTGTGTTTGAATTAAATAACTCAAGTTCTGTATTGTCAAGAGAGTACCTGAAACATGATGTGCAACAGTAATCACATCTGTTGATCAAAATAAAGGATTTATAGTTTAATCTAGTTTAATTGAAAGATGCACAGACTGACAAAGCTCCTGTCAGCTCCTGTGCATTTCCAATATATTGTCTTTGAGATAAGCTGTCTGGGAGTTGCAGGTGTCATTTCAATGTACTGTGAAAGACTACATCCTAATCACTTAAAGCATTCAGCATACCAAATTCTTCACAGCATTCAGTTTCTACTGAATGGAAAATCTAATCACCACATTGCCATACAGATTGCCACTCTGTTAAGTAATTTTTGGCAAAGTTTAGTTGAAAATTAGTAAATAGCCAAAGTGATCTGTGGTTTAAAAGTAGTGTGATCATGCTCGATTTTATTACTTCTGTGTTCCTGTTCTTTGTATTTGTGAAATAGCTTTCAATGTTACAGCCTTAAAAATGTTACACCTGGCATGAATGGATTTCTGTTTTATCAGCTTATGAAAATGAAGACCATTTACTTTGGAAACCTGATGTGATCTCAGAAAGTAAAGTTAAAGAATACCTTTTTGAAACCTCCTTAAGAACAGGAAATGAAAAAATGATTGGCAGAATTCCTGAAGGACTACATACACGGGACAATGAGCAAGTAAGTTTTATATCCTGTTCCATTTGTGACACAGCACTTTGTAATTAACATGTGGTCTCCTTCTCTGCTTTGTATTGTTAAGGCACCACTACTCAATGTCTTCATTCCTTAGTTGAATATTATGGGGTCAAGATCTTATTTAAAATTATTAAGCATGTTCTTAAAAATCTTGAGTATTTGAATGTTGGCAGCCTTGTGATCTGTGATATTTCTGGTTGTCATACCATTGACAAGTTCAGCCTTTTTAATAATTGCATGTAGTGTTTTACTTTTTTTCTTAGTTAAAAAGCCTCAGCTTTTAGGTGGTTTTGGTTTTGACTCTTGTTTTTAAATTTTCATCATATGTAAAGATAAATCCTCACTAGACATGTTCACTGGAATACTAGTTTTGGAGGTCTAGATTAGATATTACGAAGCTTTGACCCTTCTAAAGATTTTTTTTATTCTATAGGCGCTGTATGAACTTCTTAAAAGTAGCCATAATGTTAAAGAAGCAATTGAGAGATACTGCTCAAATGGAAAGGCATCTCAGGGTAAGAGAATACATGTTTTTTCAGAAAAGTGTGGTTAAAAAAAAAAAGTTCTGTGGAAAATTCTTGAGTAGAATCAGATTATCAAGCACATCCCTGTCATGATGACTTTAGCACAAATTAGGTATAATCTGGCATTGTCCAGTTGGAAGTTCTGCTACAAAAGTTTGCAGTTTGCAGAAAGGCTGACAATTTGTTTTTGACCTTCCCTTCTTTCCTCCACAGCTATTGTAATGGTGAAACAGATTGAGGAGAGGGGTGGTGAGAGACGTGATTCTGCTGCTATAAAGCAGTTCTCACCCACTATATGTAGTGTCTCTTGGAGATCATGATTGATTACAGTCTGATAAAATTTGTACCAAAATCAGGAGAATATAGGTGGGTACGTAAATAAGACCCCATTCTGTGCTAACATTTGTGTTATGCCAGCCCTAAACGGGCTCTATTGTATAGTTCCTTAGGGCATGGAGAGCTTTGCTTGAGTCTGCATTGGAAAATGGGCTTCCATCTTGTTTGTCCTTGTTTTTTATTAATCCTTTAAATGAAAACTAGAGTCTGTCATTTAACAAAGGTGGGTTTTTGTCCTTTATTTTTGTGTAAGTTTTGTGTGAAGCAGAATGGGTTATGAGCTCTGCTGTAAGTTAATATTCTGTCAGATAGTCCTCTACTCAGAACTGGATCCAAAGGGAAGTTGAATGTATGCAATTAAGTGCTGTGAGAGACAAGTACCTAAGTGAATATCAGGTTGAGTGCTGACTGGCAGCTTAAGTACCACACAAACTCCTTCTGCCCCACCACTTCCTTTCCTGGTGGAGATGAAAATTAGAGGAAAAAAGTAAAACTTTGGGTTGAACTAAGAACAGTTTAATAATTGAAACAAATAAAAGAATATAATAAGAAAACTAATTATAATGCTTACAATAATAACTTTAGTGAAAGGGTAAGACAGAGTGATAAAACCCCCAAGAGGCGAGTGATGCACAGTGACATGGTTGCTCAGTACCTGCTGACCGATGCCCAGCCATACCCTGGCCATGTTGGTCTGTGTGTGGAATATCCCTTTGGCCAGGTCGGGTCAGCGCTCCTGGCCGTGCTCCCCCAGGCTCTTGGGCACCTGATCACTGCAGAGCACAGGACACTGAAATGTCCTTACTTACACAGTTTGGCACCAACTAAAACATCGGTGTGTTATCAATATTATTCTCATATGGGATCCAAAACACAGCACTGTACCAGCTACTAGAAAGAAAATTATCTCAGCCAGAATCAGGACACTAAGGTCAAGCTGAAGGAGGAAATAAAGACTATAAGAAGAATGCTTTAAAAACCTCAAGAGATTGTGTAGACCTTAAAGTATCAGCTGCAGAGCTGTAGCCTAGATCCCTTACTTCTCTGGAATTTAGGCTCCTGTTTTAGGATTGAAGAATACCTCTGTCCATTTGTGCCTTAGAGGCCAAAATTCCATCCTAAGGACTGGTACTCCTTACCCATACCTTGTTCCCCAGGTTCAGGTGGAATGTTACACCTTCATTAAAATGGTAAGGGATAGATGGAGTAAGGCCTAACAGGTGAGGGAGAGGCTGTGGATGTTGCCTGCCTAGACTTCAGTAAAGCCATTGACACCATTTTCTACAGCATTCTCCTGCAGAAGCTGATAGCCCATGGCTTGGAAAGGTGCACCCTTCACTGAGGTAAACCCGTCTGGATGGCTGAGCCCAGAGAATGGTGGTAAATGGAATTAGACCCACCTGGTGTGTTCCCCAGGGCTCAATATTGGGGGAAGTTCTGTTTAGTACCTTTATCAATAATCTGGATCAAGTGCACTCTCACTCCATTTGCAGGCAAAACCAGCTTGGGTGGGAATGTTGATCTGCTGGAGGGCAGGAAAGCTCTGCAATGGGATCTGGACAGGCTGGATCAACAGGCCAAGGCCAATGGTGTGAGGTTCAACAAGGCCCAGTGCTGGCTCCTGCCCTTGGGTCACAACAACCCCAGGCAGTGGCACAGGCTGGGGCAGAGTGGCTGGAAAGGACCTGGGGGTGCTGGTGGCAGCAGCTGAACATGAGCCAGGCTGTGCCCAGCTGGCCAAGAAGGCCAATGGCATCCTGGCCTGGCTCAGCAATAGTGTGGCCAGCAGGAGCAGGGCAGGGATTGTCCCCCTGTCCTGGGCACTGGTGAGGCCACACCTGGAGTGCTGTGTCCAGTTCTGGGCCCTGACTGCAGGAAAGACACTGAGGGGCTGGAGTGAGTCCAGAGAAGGGCAGGGGAGCTGGGGCAGGCTCTGGAGCACAAGTGCTGTGAGGAGCAGCTGAGGGAGCTGGGGGTGTTTAGTCTGGAGAAAAGGAGGCTCAAGGGGTGACCTTATCACTCTCCACAACTGCCTGAAAGGAGACTGTGGCCAGGTGGGGGTTGGCTTCTCCCACATAACCAATGACAGGATGAGAGGAGATGCTCTTAAGCTGCACCAGGGGAAGTTTATATTAGATATTGCAAAGAAATTCATGGAAAGCGTTGCTAAACATTGGTAGATTTTCCAAGAAGGTGGTAGAATCATCATCCCTGGGGGTGTTTAAGAAACAACTGGATGTAAGGCATTTAGTACTGTGTCTAGTTGACATGGTGGTGTTTGCTCAAAGGTTGGGCTTCATGATCTTTGAGGTCTTTTCCAATCTGAATGATTCTGTGATTTTGTAATGTTGTCAGTGTCTGTCTCTTAGAGTAGCCATTATACTATGATGTGCTCTACCCCACTGAAGCTCACAACTGTTCTCAGTATGGAAATCAAAAATACACCACTCCCAGGCAAGTTTCTTACAGTGAGACTTTACATGGGGGTATTTTCTCCTCTTCAAAGGTTAAGAACTTTGCAGTAAGGAATGCAAAATTAATGGGGTTGAGAAAGAAAAAAAAACAGCTGTGAGGTGGAGTGATTATTGCTTTCATCTGGGAGCATAAAGGTCTTGTTTTCAGTGTGTGCTTACAGAGGTACTTTGAAATGTGTGAATGCATTTTTCCCCCACTGGCTTTTGAGTGGAAACTTTTTGTATCACCATTTTGAATGTAAGATATCTGAAAAATCCCTCCTTACACATATATATATATATATACACCTAAGTTACAATTAAGATTGGAAATTCATAAGAGTCTTGAGCAATTTTTGTTGTTGTTTGTCAAACCAAAATCCAGTTTTAGAAAATGCAGGTTTAATCAGTTAAAATAAATAAATAAATAAATAAATAAATGTACCGTTTCTCCTTAAGAGATCTGAAGGGGTTGGAAGAGGTCTGTGGCTCTTTAGGACCAGGTGGTTGTTTTTTTCTGGATTCCTTGATAGCCCTTATTTTTCAAAAGCCTGGATCCTGTTAAGTATAGTCCCAGTCAGTTTGTCCTGCATGGCCTCCTGACCTACGCTTAGTGCTGAGGCATTCCTCCATTGTGCTTTATGCCTTTTCCAGGGGTGCACTACCTCACCAAGGGGTTTATGAAATCAGGCAGTGTTGTATGTTCTGGGCAGTCTGCCTCATGTTGGATCCATTGGCTGTCTGTGTCAGGTTGGAATTGCCCTCCTGATGACAGTTCATCCCACCCTGTTTCTCAGCTGTGATTTACAGTGCCATGCACTGAGGCCAGCATCCAGGCTGGTAGTTGGCTCCTGGGTAAGACATGGCCTAGACTGCTGAGTGCCTGAGAGAGAATGGGTCTAGCACTGTTCCTGTGGTTTGCACAGCAGAGCTGAGCTCTGTCAGGCCTTCTTGTCTGTGATGCTCACAGTCAGAACAGGGCCATCCTTCAAAATAGGGTTTTCCTTGGTTTTTTTTTTCCAACAACCACTGTTCCTTGTGTCCTGTGTAACAAGAAATATTGGGAAAAATTACCACACAACCAGCTCGGTGATGTTATCAAACACTGTTTTTTGATGACAAACTTACTAAGACCAAAAAACTTTCAAAATATCCTTTGCCTTCAAGGACGAAAAATTTCTAAAATCGAACTCTGCTGGATCGTTCTTTATAAAGAAGAATGTTAAATTCAGGTAGGAAATTAGGTAGGAATGTTGAATTTCAGGTAGTTTCTCAGTAGGGGAAATAAAATCTAAAGATCTGAATAACTGAATTACTTTGTTTTTTTTAGAATGCATTTGGATATTCATGCATTAGGAACAAAATTTTATTCTTTGTAAAATGTTAGCGAGGAAAATCAAGTTTCTCATGCTACTTTTATAATTGTCTAGAAGAGATGACAGCATGGACAGAAGAAGAATGCAGAAGCTTTGAAAATGCACTTCTGATGTATGGAAAAGACTTTCATCTCATACAGAAAAACAAGGTTAGTATTTTACAGTTAAATGGAAGAGTTGGTAAATTATATGGTACTATATGAAGGCAGTCTTTTGTCAGAAGCCATACAGAAGAGAGAAATAAGAACCATATTAAAATAAATCTGGCATTTTTAAACTATTGTTTCCTTCCTTTGCAGTAGTATTTCCAAACATCATTGGAAATACTAGGCATTGTGAGATGAGTTAATATATTATCTCTGAAATCAGTTGGCATTAGTTCTCTTTATGCATGTGCATTACAATTCAGTTTAAATTCATGCCTTTCCTAGGAGTGAACAGTATTTCTATGCCATGGCTATAGGAGGGGAGAATGCATTTTTGCCTAATTTATTCTGCCACCAGGAAGATGCTAGTTTACAGAATCTGGCTGCATTCTGTGTTTTCATAAGGTATAGTCATCCATAATATTCTCTTTTCTGACTCCAAAAAGGAGTCTTGGTTTGGATTGCTTCTGATTGACTCCTCTGTGCCTGAAGAATCAGGCTTTTTGCTGTTTTTATCAAAAAGCAATAGTTGACAATATCAGTGTTTCCAAATTTCCTGTATACCTCCTTTATGCTTTTGATACTACATTAAAGGGTTTTTTTTTCTTTGGGAGTCTGGTGTTTTTACTGTATTTCAGGTGAACTTTATAGGGTTGTGGTTGCTGTTCAACAGTAGTCTACTGGTTGTGCCCAATATGTGGTTTAACCCAACCTAAATAATTCGATAGTTCAGATTTTAAATGGCCTTTACAAATAAACATTAATGCATCAGAGATTAAAAATGTTTTCCAACATGGAACAAAACATGTGTGTTGATGCGTCTGTCACTGTGGACCTGAATTAGTCTTAAGAAATCTACAGGGTTTTTTTTCCCAGGCAAAAGGGAAGAAAAGTTTAGGGAAAGTTCTGGGATCCAGCATAAGGTGATATGACTTGCATACAGCAAGTATCAGCTAGACAAGATTTAATGTGTGGAGGAGCTTAACAAGATGTGTTTCCTTACTGCTGCAATGCAAAGCTTTGTTAACTGGGCCTTTGTGCATTAGCATATGGACACCTGTTAATTTCCTCCCCTTCCTGTCTGTGCCTAATCTAGCAAGGTTTACTACTGCACCCAAGGCATTTTGGATTTGTCACTGATGTTTCTGTATGTGTGAAAATGCTCAAATATATTTTACTGCCAGACTCTATTGGATAGTTGTATATTGGATAGAGTTGTAAAACTGGAACTGTGGGTGATATTATGATGATGTGAAATGTTTCTGCATGAATAAGTAGATAAAAATGGAAGTAATGACTTTTTCTCCAAGAATCTGACTTCACATAGCACCTCCATTTTGGGGAAAGACAAACAGTTAACATAGATCAAAATGAGTCTTTGCAGTCCTTTATACCTTCTCGATAAGACTACAGTTTTATTTTGTTTAAGCATTTACTGTTGTGGTTTGACAACTCTGTTGCCAAAGCCTCCACAGTTCTGGACTTTGCCCAAAGGAATACATATCCAGAGTCTTTTGTGCTTCACTCCGCTTAGATCATTCACTTGCTCAGCTTTTTCCATTGTAAGAGAGGATACATCTTACAGTTTAAAAAATGTTTATATATATATTTATATAAGTACTTCGGAGGTAGATAGAGTTTCAACTTAGTTTTAATAAGAAATCTAATAACGCATTGAGTAGAACAGATGTAATATTTGAAACTGTAGGTCTGTTTGAAGTCTGCAAAGATATTTTCCAGAGCAATAAAAACTGACAATATTGCTGGAGTAGGAATTGGGAAGATGACAAAACCATAGTCTTTGCATTAATGTTGTCAATTCTTCTTGTTGCCCTTTAGGTAAGAACCAGAACAGTTGCTGAGTGTGTGGCTTTCTACTACATGTGGAAAAAGTCGGAACGTTACGATTACTTTGCTCAGCAAACAAGATTTGGAAAGAAGAAATATAATCATCATCCAGGAGTTACGTAAGTAAAATGTTCTTGAAATGTGTTTTCTGTTGCAAATCATAAATGTAGAAGACTTCCCCCCCCACCTCACTTCTGTCATTGCACTGTAAAGCTTCAGTGGCTATGGCAACTGAAATTAAATCTATCATCATTTATAGGACTTTTTTTCCAGTTATGTAATACATTATGGATGCAATATTATTTTAGGGACTACATGGATCGCTTAGTAGATGAAGCAGAATCCCTTGGAGGAGCAGTGCATTCTTCAGCCTTAACATCCAACAGTCGAACAGAAACCATTCCTGATCAACAGCTAAGCATTCTGAGCTCTATCACTGCCAATGAGTTGACAGGTAAATCAAGAAAAAAAAAAATCTTGGTTGGAACTACACAAACAACTGTTTCATTTGCATTTGTGTTCATCTGTTTTCCAGCACTGACAAACAGTGTAGCTACAGTCTGCCACAATTCAGATGTGAACTGCCTGGATGACGCTTTTCCTCCTATGGACAGCTTACCCCGAGCACCAGTTAATCATGTGCCTGTTGGAACAGAAGAATTGCTTAACTTGCCTAGCAATGGTGAAAGTGATTGTTTTAATTTATTTGAGACTGGCTTTTATCATTCAGAGCTAAACCAAATGAACATGTGCAGTGAGGAGGCAGAAAGACCTGCGAAGAGATTGAAAATGGGGATTGCTGTCCCAGAATCTTTCATGAATGATGTTTCTGTAAATAACCTTGGTGTGGACTTTGAGAACCACACACACCATATTACCAGTGCCAAAATGGCTGTTTCAGTGGCTGACTTCAGCAGTCTATCTGCAAATGAGACAAATGGTTTTATCAATACCCACACTCTCCACCAACATGCTGCCCTTCATTCAGAATGACTGTGGAAAACAAAAGAAACAGTGGGTACTTTATGCAGTAGTAGTAAACTTGATGGGAGCTATCAGGTTTGCTTAGTCTTTCACTGGAAGTTTGAACTTTATGACATCAGTGATGTCTTTGTATGTATAGAACTATATCTTGATTTATCAAGAGTAATTTCTTTTTTCAGTCCATAAATGTGGAAATGTCATAGGATGTGTGGCAGAGTTTGGGACTAAGAGAACTCTGTGGTGCAGCTTTAAGCTCTGCTTCATTTTTTTTTCCTAAAGCCTGTAGACGGAGGCCACCGTTTCAAAACCAGCACAGAAGTTCTGAACGGATTGGAGTGGCTTTTTTAGTCTAAGTTACTTTTACCGTAATGGATGCAGTGGAATAACAATGTTTACAGGTACCAATCCTGATCCCTGCTCAATGTAGCATTCCC